ATGTCAGCAGTGCCACGTCAGACAGTGCCACGTAAGCAGTGCCACGTCAGCAGTGCCACAAACGACACAGTGCCACGTAAGCAGTGCCACGTCAGCAGTGCCACGTCAGCAGTGCCACATCAGCAGTCATGTCAGCAGAGCCACGTCAGCAAACATGACGGGCCTGCCAGGCCAACTGGCCAATGAGCCCATTGCCGACTACAAAAAGCGTTTCCAAGCTCAGCTCGCTGCAATCGAGGCTGAGGAACAACGCCAGCTGGCAGTCACGCCTGCCCAGCTACAGGCTGAAGAAGCGGCAACAGCAGAGAAGCTGCGGCTACAGGCCGAAGCAGACGCAGATGCCCAGGCTCGCCGCAAGGAAGCCCAGGATCTGCTGCTGCGGCATGAAGCCAACAGCATCGACAGACTCAAGTACTGGCATTTTGAACCGAACGGCGACGAGGCAACACCGGAAGAGCAGCATAAGGAGTTCTTGGCCAAGCTTGTGACCAGGCTGGTTTACACATGTAACCACCTACAGTTCGAGCTGGCAAACCTTCAGCGGTCTGTGCGGAACCATAAGACTCAGCACGAGGATGTCGCACGGGGACTGGACGCCCGTGTACGGGACCTGGAACAGGCTGTACTAGGACCAGCTGCTGGGGCTTCCAGCAGTGCATCCTCTAGCCGCCAACTGGAGGAACGCGTTGACCACGTAGTGGCAATGCTAGGAGACATAAGTGCCTTCACAGAGCCGGCCACCATCAGCCAGCGGTTCGAGTTGCTGGACACCAAGCTTAGTCAGCAACAGCAGACCGACCACAGCCACAACAACAGCTCGGCGAGGCCATACAAGATGCCGATGTTCCGGATCGAAAAATTTGATGACTACACACATCAAGACCCGGTCGTCTGGTGGCAAGGATTTACAACGGAGTTGGGGATCCACGAGGTCCCTGACCATCTGTTCATCAATGCTCTGTTTATCAACACCAAGGGAGGATGTTAGATCTGGCTCAGCCACATGGCAACCATCCACGACGTCCAGGTTTCAGACCTGCATAAGGTCTCCTGGGAGGATATGACAAAGGAATGGAAGAAGCGGTTCATAGTGGATGACGCACCCGCGCTCGCCATCAACGGCATCTTCGCGATGGCTCAAGGGAGCACACCGACACGTGACTGGCTCACGGATTGGCAGAAGATCGTGGCCACGCCCGATCTGGACTTGCCATTTCCGCATCTGCGTCGTGAGTTCTACAACAGGTCATGCGCCGCTCTCAGCCTCGCACTTGGTGATCGCGAGCAGTACAACACTTTCGCAGAGATCATCAACAAGGCGAGAGAGATCATCAAGACCAACAGGGCGGCCGCACACGAGAAGTCAACGTGGCAGCCAACCTATGTGGAGAAGGTACGAACTGGTCCGCGACAGCAGCAGTTCGCTGCAGTCCAATCGGACAGTGGAGAAGACCCAACAGCCACTCCAGCATCACGTGAGGGAGATCAGGTGGCTGCTGTCCAGCCGCGAAGCAACAAGCCCCGACTGAACGGGAAGGCGAAACCAGCATCGCAGGCCGGAAACGGACAGCCAGCACCACCATGGGTCAAGTTCGACTTGACCGAGGCCGAGTACAAGTACCGCAACCGTTACGGCTGCTGTTACTGGTGCAACAGCACCAAGCACAAGACCTCGATTTGCCAAGATCAGGCCAAGGAGGATGTGCGGCCTCGTCTTAACTCAGGAAACTGAGTTGCGCAGGAGGTGAGGCGACTCCACCTCCCACTCCGCCAGATTCGGCCGCCTTGCTAGCGGCCTCCTACACATCTGGGGAGGATGCGCATGTGGCAAGTCCTCGGTACACTTACGAGGATAATGCTGTCCACTTCTGGGCTTTGCCCTTACAGTGACATTGCGCAGGAGGTGAGGCGACATTGAGGCTATGGTGACTTCTGGGCTTTGCCCTTACAGTGACATTGCGACTTCGACATTGTTGAGCAGCGAAATTGGGGATACACTGGAGACTGGGTACATCGGGCTATGGTGGCTGATTTTCCCCCTCTCCTCTTCTCCTTCGTCTCTCCTCCCTTCCTTCGTCTGTGGATGTTGTGACAGACTCAGCGCTCCTTCCATGTATGCAGCGCTGAGTCTCTCCTCACCGGCATGATGATGATGAGTTGCACTCAGTCCTGATTGAGTCAGTCCTGGTATTTCAGTCTTCCACTGTGCTATCTTGCATCATCTCTGAGATTTCGTTTCCTTGGATTGGTTCACATTATCAGTATGTGACACGCACTGTACCCAAAGAATGCGGTATAAGTTATATTCATGACTTAGCCTTCCACTCTGAAAGCTACCGTCTTCACCCGAATAGAACGCCCAGTCATTATAGCTGTATTTGGCACAACTTTCAGCCCAGATACGGCGATAATTACCGGGTGTTCTATTCGGGTGAAGACGGTAGTGGTGGTTCAAACTCTTAAACTTTGAACTTCGAAATTATTAAACATTTCTTTCTTTTTTTTTTTTTTTAATAGGTATTAGGCATGAAGCTGACCATGACAGAGAGTACACTTGTTAGTCAAAAGGTCGAGAAAGGTATAAACTTTAAAGTTTAAGAGTTTGAGCCGTGCGGGTTGGGTCGTACCTTGTGGGGTGGGTTATACCATGTGGATCGGGCGGTACTATGTGTGATGTGGCGTGTGCAGTGCTTTGTGGGGCAGGCCATACTGTGTGGACTGGGTGGTACTATGTGGGGCAGATTGGCATTATGTGGCATAGGTGATACTAAGCGGGTTGGCTGGGACTATGCCGGGTTGGTCATACTATTTGGACTCGGTGGTACTATGTGGCCCAGGTGATACTATGTGGGTTGGGTGGTACAACATGGGGTGTATGTGGACTAGAGGGCACTATGTGGGGTAGGTGGTACAACTA